TAAGAGGACTTGATAAATTGATTGTAAGACCATCAGCTCTGTAGCAGTTGTCCCGTTTTTATTACCTGTAACATTTCTGTTGTTCAGGAATGGAACGACGAGTTGTTGCGGTGGAACCCGGACGACTTTGGTGGCATTCAATCACTGCGAATTCCTTGCGACTTGATCTGGTTACCTGACATAGTCCTCTATAACAAGTATGTATCATGGAAGTTTTCAGTGAAACGCCGAAATTTGTAGACGCAGCCCACGATGTATGGGCGGAGTCGGGCCTGCTAGGTTATAATCTGACCCGATCCTTCCCTTGGTATACCGAAAAGCAGGGTTACACCAGTGAGGAGAACACGCTGTTACGCTCCACTATACGTGGACGATGGCTTGAATGGTTTGATGAGAATTTGGTCGCGAAAATTTCCGTCCAGATTTGCTTCCCTGCATTTTTCATATTTTTTCTTGGGGTACTGCCTCTCTCAATCGTATTCATTGCAATCCTGTCTTCAAAGGCGCATTCCGCGTTAATTGTATGGGCGGAACTATCTAGAGTGCCATCAACCTTTCTCATTGGCGTGCCTATCCTCACCGAAGGTGTAGTGCATCAATGGAGAAAACGTGTTGGTAGATCTGACTCCGCCTAAATGGCCAAGTTGAAACGGACACTTTTAGTGGCTTTTTAGTGCTGACGACTACACTGCTGGTTACATGCGTTCGAGAGCTATGGTGCTCTATACAGGTACTGTATTCTGGCCACCACCTACGCAATTGCGCAGTACATGCAAAGGTGAGTCTCTGCAGTTCCGTTGGACTCAATTCGGCTTGGGAAGAGCAAAATTTTGTTAGTTCTCCAGTATACTACTTGCTCTTAACTAACTCGTCTTATCCTAATTATACCTGTAAAGTCTCTTCGAGCATAAACGCTTGCGCTTTTCCTTATTCTCACAAAAGTTCACAGATTTCCACAAGAGAGATCGGCAACGATTGACGTAAACCGGGAAAAGGCCCCTCCAAGCCGGATAGTGCCTTTCAATTCATATCACTTATTAGTTCAACAGCTATCTTGGGTCAGAAAACCTGAGTGGCCGCGACGCGTCAGACTAACTCGGAGCACGCTGTATTTTATTGCTAGTTGTCTGGGCTTACTGCACTACTTCCTATGTTGATTAGATATGTCCTGATACAAGTGCCACGCTGCCACTACTCAGACATCCTGATCCAAGCTCACCACGAAGTTTGATTTTGTGCCATATAAATCTGGCTGTTTCAGTTGATGTGTCGCTGTTTCCATTCGATGAGCAGCGATGTTCGTTAAAATTCGGTTCGTGGACCTACCACGGGTTTCAAGTCGACATCACCAATCGAAGTGATAACATCGACTTGACTAATTATGTTCCTTCTGGAGAATTCGACCTCGTCAAGGTATGCTTAGATGAACGTTAGCGAAATTCGTAACCGACAAGGTCGACCTTTGGCAAGGTTTATGGTTAATGAACGTTTAGAGAAACTGCGCAACCACACAATCCTGGCTAATTATCCGCTAGGCTAGAGGTCTTCGTTCGCTGCGGATGATGTGGGTGTGTCAGAGGCCATATGTAGGTTCGCGCCTCGAGCCTGTATTTTTCTCCTTGTCTTTACCTTTCGGCAAGCGGACAAGACGGTGAACATGCTTGTGTCTGGGCTTCTTTACAACTATTGTCGCTACGTTGCGTTCCAACGTTCCGCAAAAATACTAGCGGGAGGGGGGCTGGCGCCGTCAAACCAGCCCTTCCCTCTGACCCACGCCCCGCAGGCGAGCAAGACTCTATCATAGCTTGATACACACAGAACCAGGAAGAGCCTCTACAGCTGACTTAAAGCAGTGCCCGCGGATCATTTGTTGTTTTCAATCCTTTGGATATCGTAGCTCACCCCATGAGGAGGTGGACGTACTAGTTTCGCAACTCAAAAATGCGAGAGAGTAGCGGCGCCCGCTCGTGAAGAGTCGGCCACCCCGCCCACCTGGCGACCACTACGCCCAACTTCATTTCTAATGGTTGCCTGATGGTGCGTTGTTCCGCTTCTAACTTTCTCCGCTACTTCAAATGGTATAAAGAGGTGAGTGATAAGGCTGAAAACAGCGGATTACCAACAAGTTGAAAACTCGTGCGCCATTGCCTCTCTTCTGCCTCAAGCACGTACCAACCTCATCTCGGCCGTGGCGTTCCTATATAAGTATCCATGACTTTGCATTTTCTTTTCGGAATTGAACTATTTGCGTACTTTGTTATTGTTGTCTGACCCCATAACTGATCAGATTGAACGCGGGCGCTAGCGTTTAATGTGAAGGCTACCTTTAGTTCTTTCTAAGTTGAGGGGACAAACTAATTGGCTTGCCGTTAAAATGCTAGGACGCTGAGTCTAGATTTTTAGCCGACATGGTCAGGAATTTCTCTTGCGTAAGGCAGCCCTTGATCCCGCAACCAGGGCACATCGTGTAAGTCTCCAAGCAGAGGGTCGATTTTGTAGCTGGGAGAAGGGAGGGGGCAGGGTCTATTTCTTCTTCTGACCTGCTCGATGGGGAGGGAACCAAGGGGTGTGCGGGGTATATAGGCACTCGGCCGAAAACTCCACAACTTAGGATCCATCTAGCCCTGTCTGCAATATTCTGCTACGCTACATTTTGTGCGGCTAGAAAAGAGTGGCAAGGAGAGCTGTCCCCTTCGCCCTCGCGACTATAGTGTTACTCATTATTTATTGTTGAGGCATTTGATCCTCTCTATTCTTTAATTTCCTATCAATTTCGTTCAGCTTAAGGAGAGGCAGTCTTGTTCGTCTGTATACTGTCGGTCTTCCACAATCGCAGGTAAGGAGAGACAGACGATGAACGTGTGACTGAAAGAGGAAACCCCTATCGATGTCGTTTGCACCTTTCTTGGTGGCACCTTTCTTCAATACTTGAAGGCAGTTGGCACGATATATCCCCCAAGACGAGTAAGATTAACACACCTACAGCGACGGCATTCTGACCTGAGCAGGCGTTGCACAATACCTTTTCCAGGAAAGCTGCCCGCTAATAAAGGCCTATCAAGCCATCGACCACATTTCGCATCCATGACGCCTGCACATCGCCACCCACAACATGACGAGCCAGGGGGGCGTTTCTGACGGTCGAAATGATTCATTCTGGCTAAGCCAAATTATGAAGCGAAGAATCCGTTATTGAAGCGCGGGCGGTGCTGCATAAGATATATCATTACGCATATGCGATCCGTAATTTAGTAGCGTTATTGGCAACGAGTGCCTGCGGGAAAACTCGGTCCAAAATTGGGTGGGTTATACCAATACAGCCGAATGAACGGCAGCGCTCTTTCTTCGTAGGATTTTGACCGCTTCACTCCGTTCTTTCGCTATTTCCCCACTATATAACGCCCTACTAGCATTTTAGGCCGCACACCAAATCATTGTTGCAATTGACTTCAAATGAGTACGTCACACATCAAGCTGGTAGCGGAATGTGTAACTAAAGTAACTATATGTCTAGAATTTAATTAGTTCTTTTTTATTTTACTAGATCCAGAGGGATTGCAGAAGAGCCACCGGCCGTCTCCTGGCCTATGAGTTATATTTCTTTTCACGCGCGGGTAGTTGCCAGAATTTAGTATGATTAAAAGAAATTCGTACGTGAAGCAGATGTGGCCAACTGTCTATTTTAGGTCTATCAGAAGCGTCGTGTGGTCAAGTACACATGCTGTCCTGAGCCCTATCCAGATATCACGTTTTTCATCTATATTCGCCGGAAAACGCTCTATTACCTCTATAATATTGTGTTCCCGTGTCTCATGATGTCAGTATTGACTCTACTCGGTAAGTTAATTAATCTTTCGATTTTCTCGAATTTTATGAAGTTTGTCTTACTTTGATACTGCTCTTGACGCAGCAGTTCGCGCCCTGAATGTTGTCATAAAGTGCTGAGTGATACGCGTTGTCGATTCGAATTCTTTCAGTTTTCATACTTCCTCCTGACTCCGGAGAGAAGATCGCGCTCGGCATCACCGTATTGCTCGCGTTTTCCGTGAGTTTTCCAGAGCTCGTCACCTATATAATAACCCCGAAATACCTCCTTCAGGTATTCGTGCTAGCAATCGCCGAGAAAATGCCAGAAACATCGGATTCGATGCCACTTATCGGCATCTACCTCACAGTCGTGATGGGCATGACGTCCGTTTCTGTCGTCATGACCGTTCTGGTTAGTTTTGGCGCTAATAGGGTTTTATTTGGTAGAAATGGGGCGTTTTATGAGCAGGTAGTTTTTCTAAGCTATTGCAACTTGCATTTGTCGTAGATGTAACTCCTTACTTTTTCGTTTCTCAAAGACACTAACATGATTATTCGTCGGACGGTGAAATGAGCGGAGGCACCCGGCTTTCACACTTACCAGGGAGGTCGTTCAGGACGTGGCGCGCTTTTTGAAAACGGTTTTTTGCATGATGTGGGGTCACGAGCCTAGAGTACCAAACTGACGTTCATTTTTCCTGAACATCCTTTTTTCGGAATACCAAAAAGGAGGGAGAAAGAAGTCTGTGGAAACTCAGTTTTTGAGCCTCTATGGGCTCTAAATCACTTGCAACTTTGCCCAGTTGCTGCCTGTGGGGTCCTTATAAAGGTAATACTGGTATCAAGGAGAAAAATAGTCGCCAATGGGGTCTTACTTGTGGCACGTGAACGACCTCCCTGGTTAGTGCGCTTTCTCTCTTTCTATACATCATAAGGACTTGCGAGCTGATAAAGAAGGCACGATGGCTGGTGGGGATGTCTCCACCCATTTCCCCTTGCTCCGCGCTCTCTGCCATCAATGTCGTCTTTCTCCTGAACCCAGTGAAAACTCCATAGGGCTCACTATCCGTTCTGTAAAACGCAGGACTCGTATTCATAGGGGTTTTTTGGAATAATTTTTTTGGCTGTTGATTTCCTCCTTTTTGGCTCGCTATATATCCTTGGTGGCCTGGCGAAACTTCTGCTTCCGGCAATTGATTGGACTCCCTCCCCCTCCCCCCGTTCTATGCCGAAATTTTCGGAAAAGTTGGAAGGTGGAAGTAAAATGGGAAGTGGGGACATAGCAGAGGAGCACATCGGGGAGGGTCGTGTGTTGAAAAATTGGCCACAGCGTGATGGTGTGCTTTTTCTTCCTACTAGGAAATAAGCCGCCCTATATTTTTGATTTTTTTGACACTTTCATCAGTTCAGGTGCTGAACTGCCACCATCGTGGCCCATTCAACGAACCAGTACCGAACTGGGCTCGAGTATTGGTGCTGGATCGACTACGACGATTTCTTCGCATGAAACTCTCCAACAGAGGTTTGTGCACTATGTCAGTTCATTCAGCAAGTGCTGAGCGCAGTGCGTCAAGTAAATAATGGGAGGGGATAGGGGGGTGGTCGTACTTGAAAATGTTTCGCATCACTATGGCGTAGCAGTCTCTGCGAACTCGCACCTACTTGTCCTACACCACTGGAGATGCAGTTTGGCTGGTAGAGCCGATTTCCTGTTTCCCATCGATCATTCGCCGATACCTCCTGTGAAGCTCCGTAATCTCTTGTGAAGGTATGCAATAGCCCAAGCAAATTGCATGGCGCATCCCATAAAAGTGTTGGTCGGCAAAATCTCCAACTTCTACTCCTTAGCGAAATCGCAGTCCTGATTTTTATGCTCATTTCAGGCGAAAGCAGGACGAAGATGTCAATGAGCTCGAGCAGTATGATGAGACGGACGTCAGTGCGAGTCGCGATGGACGACATGAGAAATGATGTGAGGGCACCCCATATTTTTCCAGTTTTTTTTACCCTAAAAATCCTAGCGATTCAAAAACCATTTGCGAGCTGGGTATACAGTTTTGGTCGCTGCGGATGTTGAGATGCGCCAGGGGGCAGGGTTTGGCGCTGCGGCAGCTTGTTCTCTACGCATTGATAGTTGTTGTCACCAAAGAGGCGGCAACAGTTGGTGAAAAAGTTTGGCGCAGCGCTAAACCCAGTCCCACTGACACACCTAAGTATCCACAACGACTGAGGCCAATAAACCTTGTTGATGCACATTGATGGATAGGCCCCAGTTACATATATCCTGGAATGAGGTTTTAGCCAAGGCGAGGGCTGAAAATGGATTTGCCACAGATTTAGTTAGAGTACTACATG